GTCCAGAATGGAAGTTTTAGCGCCCAACACTTGTCAAATTTTTTTCAAAATTTTCTAAAAACTTTTCCTCTTTTTTTTTTTTTATATTATTAACACTAATTATTACATACCTGATATAGTGGGTTGCCTCCCACTCAGCGCGTGTTTAACGTCACGAGCCTGACGGTTCTTATCTAGCTTACCTCCAACAGAGCAACTGTAATAAGTTGCCTGTCCACTGCACTTCCAATGTATAATTTCAATCTCTGACCGTTGACAGTAAAGCTTCGATCAGAATCCCAAGAACAAATTTCCACCGCTCCATAAGACTTCATATCCTTAACCACAAATGGTCCAGACCATCTGGACTTTAACTTTCCTGGAAACAGTTTCAACCTGGAGTTGAATAGCAGAACCTGATCGCCCACCTTGAAATCCCTGGGTGTGATCTTCCTGTCATGCCATAGCTTGGTCTTTTCCTTGTATAAACTGGCACTTTCATATGCAGAAAGACGAAATTCATCCAATTGCAGTAGCCTTTTCTCACCTGCTGCTTTTGAATCAAAGTTTAAAAACTTAACAGCCCACAATGCTCTATGCTCCAATCCCACAGACAAGTGACATGCTTTCCCAAACAACAACTGAAATGGAGACATTTCAATAGGAGTTTTGAATGCTGTCCGATAAGCCCACAAAGTGTCATCAAGTTTCTTGGACCATTGAGTCCTAGCATTTCCAACAGTCTTCTCCAATATGCATTTAAGTTCCCTGTTAGAAATCTCAACCTGACCACAAGTCTGTGGATGGTACAGAGTACTTATCTTGTGCCTGACTCCATTTTTGGCAAGGACAGCCTCTACCAACCTGTTGTCAAAATGAGTTCCCCCATCACTGATTATAGCTCTTGGGACTCCAAATCTCACAAAGATGTTCTTTTTCAGAAATGCAATCACAACCTGAGAATCATTAGTTTGTGTGGCTATGGCTTCAACCCATTTTGACACATAATCAACTGCCACCAGGATATACTTGTTTAAGTAGGAAGAGGGAAAAGGTCCCATGAAATCCATACCCCAAACATCAAATATCTCCACCTCCAGTATATTATTCAAAGGCATTTCATGTCTCCTGGAGATGTTACCAGTCCTCTGGCAATTGTCACATGCTTCCACATACTTCCTAGCATCCTTGTACAATGTTGGCCAGTAGAAACCACTCATCAAAACTTTGGCTGCTGTTCTTTCACCTGCAAAGTGTCCACCATAGGCTGAACCATGACAGTGCCATAAGACATTTGTTTGTTCCTCCTCTGGAATACATCTTCTGATTACTCCGTCTGAACATCTATAGAAGAGGTATGGTTCTTCCCAAATGTATCTCCTCATATCATGCATAAATTTCTTCCTCTGTTGCCAGGTGAAATCCTTAGGCATTGCTCCAGCAGCTTTGTAGTTGGTAAAATCAGCAAACCACAGAGGAGTATTAATTGTCATAACTTGATCCTGCACCAACTTTGTGCTTATGGCCAGTATTTGCTCATCAGGAAACTCCTCCTTAATCACCACTTCCGGACCCTCTTGTAGATTTGTCTCTGTGATCCTGGATAAGTGATCAGCCACCAAGTTTTCAACTCCCTTTTTATCTTTGATCTCCACTTCATACTCTTGCAGAAGTAACATCCATCGGAGTAACCTGGGCTTAGCATCCTGCTTTGTTAACAAATACTTTAAAGCTGCATGGTCAGTGTAAACAATAACCTTTGACCCTAGCAGATATGACCTGAATTTGTCAAATGCATACAAAATTGCCAATAACTCTTTTTCTGTAGTAGCATAATTCTTTTGTGCCTCGTTAAGAATTTTACTGGCATAGTAAATGACATGCAATAATTTGTCTTTCCTTTGGCCTAGCACTACCCCCACAGCATAATCACTGGCATCACACTTCAGTTCAAAAGGTAATGAAAAATCAGGTGCCATGATTATTGGTGCAGTGATCAATTTTTCTTTCAAAATATTAAATGCATGTAAGCAGTCATCAGTAAACAAAAACTCTTGATCTTTCCCTAACAACTTGCATAAAGGTTTTGCAATTTTGGAAAAGTCTTTTATAAAGCGTCTATAAAACCCTGCATGACCTAGAAAACTTCTCACACTTTTAACATTTATGGGAGGGGGTAGTTTCTCAATAACAGAGATTTTGACTTTATCCACTTCAATCCCTCTGTTGGACACTTTGTGTCCCAAAACAATACCCTTTGTCACCATGAAGTGACATTTCTCCCAGTTCAGCACAAGATTACAATCTTGGCATCTTTTTAAAACACTATCCAGGTTTTCTAGACATGCATCAAAAGTAGGACCAAATACAGAAAAATCATCCATAAAAATCTCAATGCATCTTTCTACCATGTCAGAGAATATGGAAAGCATGCACCTTTGAAAAGTTGTTGGTGCATTGCATAGGCCAAAAGGCATCCTCCGGTATGCAAAGATTCCATAGGGGCAAGTGAATGCAGTTTTCTCCTGATCTTCCGGAGCCACAACTATCTGATTATAGCCGGAGTATCCGTCTAAGAAACAGTAGAAGGCATGCCCTGCCAATCTCTCCAGCATTTGGTCTAGGAATAGAATAGGGAAATGGTCCTTCCTTGTTGCTTTGTTGAGTCTCCGGTAGTCAATGCACATCCTCCAGCCAGTGACTGTTCTTGTAGGGATCAATTCATTGTTCTCATTCCTTACAACAGTCATCCCTCCTTTCTTAGGCACTGTCTGAACTGGACTCACCCAAGCACTGTCTGAAATAGGATAAATCATCCCAGCATCCAGCAACTTCACCACCTCCTTCCTCACTACCTCATTCATAGTGGGATTGAGTCTTCTTTGTGGTTGCCTCACTGGGTTAACCTCATCTTCCATCAATATCTTATGAGTGCAGAAGGAAGGGTTGATACCCTTAAGATCTGAAAATGACCAGCCCATGGCTGTCTTGTTCTTCTTGAGCACCTCAACCAACTTCACTTCCTCCCTTTCATACAACAATGCATTGATAATGGCTGGGTATGTTTGATCATCTCCAAGGAACACATATTTAAGATTTGAAGGAAGTTCCTTCAGTTCCACCTTAGGTGCTCCCTTAGGAATGTCATCTACCTTCTTTTCCAACTCTTCAACCACCGGTTCCTCCTGATAATATTCCCCACTTATCTCTTCCTTAAATTTGTCTTCCTCAAATGACAAGTCTTCTTCTCCTATCACTTCTTCCACTACCTCCTGTATGATATCAATTCTAAAACAATCATCCACATCAACAGGATGTTTAATGGCTTCAAACACATCTATTGTAACTGTTTCTTCATTCACCCTTACCATCAGCTTCCCTTGTTCAACATCAATCAGGGATCTGGCAGTTGCTAAGAATGGCCTCCCTAGAAGTAGAGGGCTTTCAGTATCTTCTTCTTCCATATCAAGTATCACAAAGTCCACATGAAAAATGAATTTATCCACCTTGACCAGAACATCTTCTACCACTCCTTCTGGTCTCTTGATTGATCTATCTGCTAGATGCAGAATAACATTGGTATCCTTCAACTTGTTAATTCCCAAAGCTCTACATACAGACAATGGCATCAAATTTATGCTGGCCCCCAAATCACAAAGTGCCTTCCCTACTTCCACATCTCCAATGGAAACAGGAATGCTGAAACTTCCTGGGTCTTTTGACTTTGGAGGAAGCTTCTTCTGAATCAGGGCACTGCACTCCTCTGTTAATGCTACAGTCTCACCATCCTTCAATCTCCTCTTCTTAGACAGAAGATCCTTCATGAATTTTACATAGTGAGGCATGTTCTCCAAGGCTTCAGCAAATGGAATATTGATTTGCAATTTCTTGAAAATATCCAGGAACCTTGCATAATGCTGCTTCTGAATTTCCTGCTTCAACCGTTGAAGATAAGGAACTTTGGCATATGGAGATAGGTTAATTGGCTGGTCCTGCTTGTCAGCCATTTTCTTCTTCTCCCACTTGATCAACTTCTTAGGTGAAGAATTTTTTTCAACCACTACCTCATCTTCCTTCTTATCTTTCTCGACTTTTTCTCCTTCTTCATCTTCAACTACAACATCTTCAACAACAACTTCCTCCTCATCTTTCTTTTTTTCCACTTTCTTCTTAACCGGTTGAAGCACAAGCCCACTTCTTGTAATTATGGACTTGCAGTGCTCCTTTGGATTCACCATGGTATCACTAGGGAACTGTCCCTGTGGCCTTTCAGATATCTATCTAGACAACTGGCCAATTTGTGTTTCCAAATTCCGGATAGATGCTTCCTGGTTTCTGAATGATGTCGTTGCCTCTTGCATAAAAGCAAAAGTTTCTTCTCTGAAAGAATTTGACCCCTGAATATAATCTTGAGTAGTCTTTGATAACTGGGCAAAAGCTTTCTCCCATGCAGAGGTATCACCTTGTTGTGATGAGTGTGTTGGAGGAGGATGCAGTGGAGGATTCAACTGATGATTGGAACTGTAACTGAACCCTGGGTGTTGATTCTTATTCTTCCATGGTGGAACATATACATTTCGCCCCTGGTTGTTATGGTTCCTCTGATCATACCATACCCCATTCACTTCTGCTTGTTCAGCATATCCCCCTTAATCACAATCATTTGTAACATGGCTTTTCCCATAAATGGCACACACATAATTAGTGTCCGCAGAAGCAACCTTCTGAGAAGATAGTTGCTTAGTGAGAGCATCCAGTTGTTGTTGTTGTTGTTGTTTCTGCATTTGCATCATCTGATCAGTCTTGGCTAACAAAGCATCATAGCCATCCAGTTTTATAATTCCGTTATTCTGTCATTCACTGGAGCATTGTCAAACTCCTGAGATGCTAGGGACTCAAATATGTCAAGGGCTTCCTGAGGAGTCTTGGTTGTCAATGAACCACCAGCTGTGGCATTCACCAATGTCCTAGTGTTGGTTGTCAACTCTTGGAGGAATATTGCTGCTTGATTCCACACTTCAATACCATGTTGTGGACATTTCCTCAAGAGTGTCTTGAACCTCTCCCAAGCCTCATAGATAGACTCTGACTCTTTTTTGCTTGAATCCTGTAATCTCATCCTTCAATTTTGCCCTCTTGGATGCTGAAAAGAACCTGGCTAAGAACTTGGTCTGCATATCATCCCAAGTTGTGATACTCCCTTGTGGTAGTGACTGTAACCATCTCCTGGCATCATCCTTCAGTGAATAAGTAAACAGCCTCAACAGAGTGGCATCTCTGGTCACCCCATTGATTTTCACAGTATCACTCAACAGTAAAAAAAATTCAATGTGCAGGTATGGATCTTCTGCACTGGTTCCAGCAAACTGTTCCTTCTGAACCAATTGTACTAGTGCAGGCTTCAACTTGAAATTGTTGGGCTCCACTGTAGGTCGAACAACACTCCCTATCGGTGGAATGACAGTGGGAGTCATGTAATCTCTCGGTGTCCTCTGTGGTGGTGGCACATGATTCTCTGCCATAATATCTTCCTGAACTGGCACACTTGATTCACCCCTTTCTTGTAACTGTCTACGTCTTGCTGCCCTCCTGTTCTTCCTAATTGTCCTTTCTAATTCTGGGTCAAACAACAAAGAATTTGGATCAATAGTACCTCGCATACACTAGAATTAAAATTGAACAAAAATTCACACAAAAATATAAAGTGCTAAAAATTAAAAGATTCAATTTCAAATACTAATGGTGTCTGTCAAAGTTGAAGAACAAATCCCTGGCAACGGCGCCAAAACTTGTTGTGGATTTAGCAAGTGTACTAGTCACACAAGTAAAAAAATAATGAGTAAAGATCGTTCCCACGAGGATTTATGTTCAAACACCGACTGACCATATATACTTAAGTTGAATCAAACAAAAGATTATTGATTGCATTGATTTCTTGTCACCAGAAATTAAATTGAATTGAATTAAAACTTAATAAACAAATAAAATGTAAATTATAATTTAAACAAGTAGTCAGATATCAATTTCCCTTAAGCATGAACTTATGTATGAATCAATTTCTATAACGAGTTATCTTCCATGTGATGTTAATCAACCTTTTCTTATCACCAAGATGTAATCCCTTACTATCCTCATTGATACATTAATTAGAAACCCCAATCCCTTGGTGATTCCCTTCTTAATACATGCATTAAATACTAAGATCTTAAGATCACATCAGAATCCTAGCATCAATCCCTTGAATACTAGAACACTGATGATGAAGTTGTCAATTACAGAAACAATGTAAACATCCATGTTCTACACTATTCCCTTGATAGAAAGAATTAATAAAGACAACTTCATATCATCCCATAAAAGATAAACAAAGTATACAATTAACCATTCATAAATTCACACTTGAGTTCCATTGAATCAGACTACAAAGGACTTTACTCAGTCATAATTACAGAATAAACAAAAGAAGAGAAAAGATCAAACTTCATTGTCATGATGGATGAGTCTTCAATCTTCAATTACAATTACATAAAATGTACTAACTAATACAAAAACTAATCCTAAAGAATTTAGAAAGTCAGAGAAAGTGAAGAGTCAGATCAGAGGATCTGAGATAGGATGTTAGAGAATGTGAAGGCACTTGCCCTTTTATAGAGTCACAAAATACAACTAAATAACAACCAGAAACTGACATGGGCGCTAAAACATTCACCGATGGACGTTTTAGCGTCCATGTTTGACGGATGCCGAACTATTTTTAACTGTCTTCAACGCTAAAACGTTTGAATTGGAAGTGTTAGTGTTCAAGACCAGAAACTTTTCCAACAGCAGAGCGCTAAAACGTTTGATCAGGAAGTTTTAGCGCTCATCACCAGCACTTTTTGTCTTCAGTTTGCAGCAGCACGCTAAAGCGTTATGTTTGAACGTTTTAGCGCTTAACACTTAGCATTCTCTCTTTCTTCAGAATCTTCTTCCTTCTCTCTGTTGCTCCTTGAGCTTCATTTCCCTACAAGACAATGTAAATTTTCAACAAAGCTTTCAGAACTTGTACTTAAGGGTTTCCCAGGACATTAACCTCTTTTCCATCCATTTAATCACACAAAGTCATACTAATTCATGCTTAAAAACCTGATGAACTAGGGGTTTATCATAAGTGCAAATGCTTATGATATGTATGTGGTGTTCGCCTAGACAGGAAGCCATGGGGTTGTCTTGTGGGCGGGTACAGCATGGGCGTGTACTGTGTAACACCCCGCATATATCCGATTTGTTATCATATCATCGTATTAAGCCACGCTTAATTTAAAAATGTGGAATATCTTTTTATGTTCAATTATGACATCATTATCATTAGCCAAGTTGAATTACTTAATTCATTTCATAAAACATCGCCTGTATGTAAATTGCAAAAGACCACTAACTGAAATGCCTCATGACATAGATGTGAGTATCTAAGTCACGGATCTACAACACGTAGTCCGGACAATATCCTGATACATTATTAATTACAACTAGAAACAACTAAGCATAAAGTCAAGTCAAAGTGGCATGGAAAACCCTCATGCTCAAAACAAATAAGGCAACAAAGCCCCACAACAGTCTCAACAATAAAATCATGAAGCTAAAAGCATAAGAGGCAACAGTCAATATCCAGCATCCAACATAAGTAGCATAACATCATAATATCAGCTAAGCTTCGGCCTCCTACCGCTAGAGGTCTCAACCCCCGCATTACATGAACCTGAAATTTGTGCCCCAAACGTGGGGTGAGATCTCTAAAAAGAAATCTCAGTAAAACAAGAGGTCCTCAAGGATCTTCCACCTCAAACTCACTTACACGAGCAATATAAGTTCAAAAGCATTTAACAGTATAAGTTCCAAAACTATGCAGTGCACCAGATATTCATGCCATATGTGTTTTAACTATTCTACTGGCCAGAGAAATGCACGACGTATGTCTACAACCCCATAATAAGTACAGGGAACACCGTTTGCACCTCACCCACAGCCTCACCATCTTGTATGTCTCCATATACTCATGCTTACCGTATAGGTGGAACACCACATACATATCATAACGGCACTCACATATAACAGCTCAATAGCATTTATCAAAACAATACATGAAAACAACATCATGCATGTAAACCATCCCCCCATGGGACATAGTGGAACCAACAATGGCTAAACTGAGGACACGAAAGCTTACCTTGCAAGCTAACAATCCAAGCCAAGAGTCCAACCAATCTCAAAGCCCAAACACAGCAGAATCACAATCTGTAAACCAATAATCATATGAAAAACATACTCAACAAGTATGAGACACAAGGACAACGTCTTTACTTTACATTTTATGTCTTAAGGCTTCTCACAAACCACTAGCCCTTAATCACTTAGATTCTGACTTAACTAATTATTATAGAGGTTCAATATAACCCATCATGGGTCCACAAAACCATAAATATCAATCTATATGAACAGAACAGCTTCTGTTCTTCGAAAACCCAGTATATCCGGATATTTGTCGGGGGCATATCCGGATATCAATACCCGGATATCTCTCTGCCAATATACGGATATATAGATCCCCATATCCGGATATCAATATCCGGATATTTCGCGACAGAATGAAGTTCTGCATTTCACGAGATATCCTTCCCAAAGGTGGTTCATTTCATGCATACAGAAGCTCAAACATGTGATTTAAGGTGTGTTTAACATTACCCAACCTTAAGTTATGATCTTTAATCCATTACATGCATCAAGGTTCCATTTTTTACCATTAAACTCAAGAACAAAGGTGATGATCATACTACAAGCTCAAAACAGAGGTGGATGATGCTCTTGGAGCTCACTTGAAGCTCCCAAGGTTCTGACTTCTCAAGGAAAACGAAAATGCAACACAAGCTTGGATCTTTCTTCATAAAGTTTGCTTCTTAGAGCTCCAACAACCAAAGGAAGCACTTTCCCACCAATCAACTCAGAAATAGCCCCTTCCCAACACACACACAACCCTCACAACTCAGAAAAAGGCACCCTTTACACTCTCCAATGCTCACACTCAAGTGTTTACTTGATCAAGAGGAGAAACAATGATCAAAGGTGGTGTCTTTGGTGAGAAAATGAAGAAGGAAGGGAGTGCCAAGGTGGCTGGTCACAAGGCTTCAGAAATCCTACATAGAAGGCACAACATGGCCTAGGGTTTTGGGCCAAAAGTCATATTTATAGCCGGTTTAAACTTAATCGCAGTGTATTAGCGCTAATTGCTACGCTTAGAAATTTAATCCTAAACTTAGGATTATGAACCTACTCATTTTTTAAAAAATTTCATATTTTTATTTTATTTTTCGTAGCACCTTTGTGGAACGCACTTTTCCATAGCCAGTATCAGTTCTGGCATCAGTTCTCATTATTTTGACTTGAAACTTGTTGTACAAGTCCTATGTATTAGTATGAGTATTTGCATACTCCATGTCTCCAGAAAGTATCTGAATACTTTCACTGAGGTATTCGCATACCACATGGTATCTGAATACTTCCACTATAGTATCCGAATACTTCACAGTATTCGAATACTTCCACTAAAGTATCCGAACACTTTTCTTCCCAAAAAAGTATCCTCATACTCCTTCAAGAGTATTGGACTACCTGCTGATGAGTATTCGAATACTACACGAAAAGTATTCGAATACTTATCAGACAGAATGCAGAAACTCGAGTAGTTTTTTTGCATAAATCCATTTTTAATGGTCCAAACACGATTTGAAGTCTAATAACTCCATAAACATATGTTCATTTATACATTTTAAACATGGTTCATCAATCTTTAACTTGAATGATCAAAGTCTACTCATTTAGTGGCTTAATCAAGCTAAAATCAAGAATATTTAAGAGAGGTGATTGTAACACCCCGTATATACCCGGAATATTAACATTACATCGTATTAAGCGGTGCTTAATAAAAAATGCGGAATATTCTTTTTCTTTTCAATTATGACATCATTAACAATTACCAACTTGATTACTTAATCAATTTCATAAAATATCGCCTGTATGTAAATTGCAATAAGACATCTACTGAAATAACTCAATGTATAAATAAAGTGTGTATCTAAATCACGGCATTACATCA